TAGAACGATTAATGTTGAATTATTTATTTTTATGACCGTGTTAGGGCAATATTGTTTGTCGATTCAAAGGTGTTTGCAAAATAATATATTATGTGAAAAATTAATATTATGATATATCATCATAGAAAAAATTTGATTTATTTAAGGTGCAAAACTATCATAAAAATAATGTAAAGCATTATAATATTATGATATTAACTGTTAAATAGAGTTATACAGTCTCATAATCAAAATTGTGTCATTTTATTATATATATTTTGTGTTCAATAGTTATTTTATAATTTACTGCTGTCCTATCGTGGGTAAGTATGCACAAGATCATCTTCAACATAAATTAATTATGAAGACCAAAAGAATTCAGAATAACTGACATAGTGATAAAAAAATAAAATAACCCCAATAATATTCATTCCCGAAATCGTATTTCTTCAATTATTACGAAGAGGCGCGTTCAGGCCGTTTTAGGTGAAAATTAAAATGTTCTCTTATTAATCATAGCCATATAAATAGTTATTTGTTTAAAAACAATCATCAATAAAAATAATTAAAAGTAGTCGCCAATAATGTTTTTCGATACGTATTTTTAAATCGTTCTCAATAATAATAATTTTTAATTTCTTCTTAATTATATTTTGTAATCATAAATAATATTTATTTGTTATTCCATTATATATTATTCAAGTAATTTTATTTAATAAACAAACGGCTTAAAAACCGGTGCGTTAATAAACGCATTTGAATAAAATAAACATTGCAGTATATTATGTTTATGCTATAAAGTTTAGAGAGTATAATTTTAAAGTATTATAAAAAAATAAGCATTATTTTATATAATTATAAATCAGTTTGAAAACAACTAAAAAAATTAATTTATTAATTCGACTGGGGGCGAAATACGTTTCGGCTGCTTGAATTGTATGCTGGCGCCAGAACCCAACCGAAATTATAGCAATTCATAAATCATGATATAATAACATAAATAGTTTACACTTCATAAAGTATTGAGTAACCTATTGTTAGGTAGTTGTAAGATTACATATTACTTATTTGTGGGCCACGGTCCGTATAAATACAAGGACCAAGATAGGTTAGGTTTGTTTAGGTTTGGAAAAAAGTAACTTCCTGGAAACTGCCATCAAATAAAAATATTAAACTCTGATGACTTTCACAAGGAAATCGATGGAAATCGATCATTTTATTATGATTAATATGGCAAGCGAATTTGTATCCCATAAAAAAATATGAATGATTTGACCATCACTTCACTGTAGCCCCCGGAGGTGGAAAAGTTTGGCAAGCCTAAACATTTTAATGCTTTGTTTTAAATCTGAAATTGCGACCCAATTTAGTTTGATAATTAATTTATTTGGTATAACATGTGATATAATTTCAAAATATTGACAGAGACGGTATGATGATCATATGTTTAACAATAAAATACATTGTTTGTGTGGGTGTGTGTAAGCGATCCTTATAGCCAAGTATATCAGACTCATAGACCATAGTTCTGAAATTAGATACATAGGGAATTCTATAGGTACCCGAAGGATGTGCACCTCGAAGCCAATTTTCAAACTTTAAATTTTACGATTCAAGTTTGCAGCCCAGATATTTGTTGGCTCTCGGAAAACGAATATTTGTCACATATATGTACATATTGCAGCAGTGGTTTCCAACCTCTTCCATTATATGACCCCTTTGTAGATTTTCAACCGGTCGTTGTTCATTTTTCTTCTTTTCCATGCATAGAGAAATAAAAAAATTAAATAAATACAAGTTTTACTTCGTCACGACTCCAGTTAGCGTCTCCTCAGAAATGTGTACACCGCGGCCCCAAGGTCGGGAACTAGGGAAACACTGCATTACACTATTTATTGTCAACGCAATAGGTTGCATAAAATAAAATAGTTACCATACATTTTACGCTTGTAGTTTAGAATTGGTGAAAACGTGTGCATCTTACATAAAACTGAGTTTAAAACGGGGGTAAATCCGGTGGAATTATTTAATATTTGTCGTGGCCGTGCAGGATCATCTAAAGGAGAATTTTCAGCGGTCTGAATCAGCAGAATGTTTCCATTTGTTTGTTTGTTTGTTTGTCCTCTGTTTACTCAATAACTACTGGGCCGGTTTCAATAAAAGTTGTATCAATATAGATTCCTATCGAGACCCCGAGGAGGGTGTTTATAGCACATAGTTATAATAACCCCTAAAGGTTGCAGCAATAGCGAGGGTGGCTCACACAATAATGATATAAATCCACTGGCATTATTTAATTTGTCTCTAAAAACGTCATGCAGGATCAGTAATGGTCCCATTCCCGTAGCCCTCTATGTATATGATACGTAATATTATTACGACAGCGTCTGAAGAGTGTTGAGTCTTTCCGAAGACTATATTTAGTGCGGAACAATAATATCGCAAATAAGAGATGCCCGTCGAAGTATAAATAAGTGCGTTGTATTATTCTAAACAGAGTGACGACTGCGGTGTATAATATTATACACAGGCGACAATATCTCACCCGCGGGTGACGTAGCGGGGAACGATCTCGGTACACGGACCGGGCACAGGACACGACAACTGCCGGAGACGGATGCAATCTCAGAGAGAGCTTATAAATTCCACAATGTCGGACGTTTCGAAAAGGGAATTATTTCAGTCATCCGGTAGCGGCCTCGCCATCGCCCCACAAACCGACACGAGGTCTGTTCCTATTGTCCGCTGATGGCTGTGGCGTGCTGGCGTTTGCACTTCGAAGATCAAATTCCCATTGTGCCAGGGGTCGACTGTACTTGATCGTCCTCCGAAGAGACGTTTGGCCACTTCCGAGTACTCTCGTAGGAGAGGGGGGGGGGTCCTAATGATTTTTCGCGAAACTGTAGAAGTCGTGACCAGAGGCGGACGTTTCGTTTGCAGAAATACTGCATTTTAATATTATATACTTTAATTATTGATTAACCTATTATGATATTATGTAAAATAAAAATAAAATAAAATATTAAACAGTTTCTTTTGCATTGGCGTCCCTCTAGATAAACTTTTTTAGAAGGGGCAACTCGTTAACGAATCTAGGTTAGGTATGAAAATCCATCTAGAAAAAAACAAAAATCAGGTTAATTACCCTCCTAGGGCTATCTTTCAATTGCTCTTACTACTTTTACAGAGATTTTTGTTTAATAATACATATTGTATTAGGTACTTATTTTTACGTTTGAAACATCAGTCTACTTAAAATGTAGTAATGGCCAAAAAAGTAATAGCTTTTATTCTAACAAAACAAATACAATTATTTTTTACGTTTGAAGTTTAAACTTGTTCTTATGTAGTTACTGTTAGTTATTTGTACAATTGCAATATTAATATTGACTAATTAACAATTAATAATAATAATATTAAGAGCATTAGACATTTTTATTTTGAATAATTCACAAATATTTATTATAATTTATAATGTTAATGCCGGGTGTATACGGGGTTATACGGCGTATATTGCGGTAATTATTATTTGCCTTAAGTGTTATTGTTATGCTGCTAGTCTAATCCTTCGAAAAACAAAAACACACGGTGTTTACGTCTTTTGAACTATTGAAACGTGTTGACCTTTGTGTAAAAGTCCAACGAATAACGTTATGGGTTTGGAACTCAGCGAAGCCGGCTTTTATATTATGGAACGTTATAATAACAGAACAAAATGAAGTCCGCCTGATTCATCTGTAAACAATCGGATATAATATAAGCTTGGTATTTATAACAAAAAAGAGAGGCGAGTAAAATAATAATTAGAAAAGAAAATATATAACGAGCCTCCAATAACGGAAGTCTCTGTCAACATCTATCTCACCTTTCTCTTAAACACGGTTAAAGATAGTGTACCTACCATATTTAACGTGATCGTGAATAATAATATATCTGGCTTTAATTATTTCGTTTAATTAACTTTTGATTGAATACCGTTTTGGGCGAAAACAAATTTCTCATCGAGTAATAGACACCGATTACATTGAACTGTATTTAATTAGCGCTCAACCATCCACCATGGATGTTAAGGTCAAATGGAGTAATTAATTAATTCGTTGAGGTTATGCGTTGTTGTCAAGCAACAATAATTAAAAAGTACGTACCTACAACTGAAGTACCTTCAATGTACGTGAAAACATTATAATTTTAATCCGAGCGTTAAAAATCGAACTTAATCCTTATTACAGTTTCAATAAAACATAAAACTTGTTATCAGGATAATTTTTTTTTGTGGAGGATATCATTTTAAAATTCGTCAATAAAATATTAATTTTTTTTGTTACTCCTCTTCTACATGAAAGGCAATATTACAAAATATATACTTTTGTACTTAATTTTTCTTTTAATAATTTACATTTATGCTTATTTTATAATATCTGTAGTCTTTACATTTGTATAGTCCTATATTGGGGCGATTGAAATTCATTTTTTTTTCTTAATAGTAGTCTTCAAATGCTAAGAAGCCAGCTTTTCATGAAACTATTACAATTTTATTATTTTTAAACTGTATTTGAGGGGGAGGGGGGTCTTGGAAGACTTTTGAGGATTAAGTTTCCACTACTTATTATAATATTATGTATATCGTAAAATATTATCATTTTATATTTCTAATGAAAATATAATAATGAATGCATCGGCAGGAACATGCGCAGTCCAACAGGAAGTAAACAAGTAGGTACCTACAACAGCGACCGGAAGTCTATACAAAACATCAATTGCAGAAAAATCACGAACACTATGTATAAAATGTATTTTAAGTTTGACTAACGTTTCAACACATTACACATTTTCCAATGATAATAATATGTGCTCGAGTCGTATCATCATGACCTAGAACTCGCTGCAGAGTCGCGGTCATCGAACTGCAGCTATTATTATGGTAATTGGAAAAAAAAAATATTTTAATCGCACAAACATAATAATATTTTAATGATTAAAACGACTATAACACCATTAATGTTATATTTCACGTTCGCGAAATCGATCTCGGAACGAGCCCACGGCGGCTGTTATATTCGCTCCTCCACGTCGATCTTTGGCCCCGAAGATTATTTCCGTACATTGAAACGCCGACGTCGCCCGATATCGTCTGTCGTGGAGGTAGATCGGCCGCGATCGTACACGATCGATAACCTCTAAATAATAACAACTCGTGGTCGCGCCTGCAGACGCAGTTCGCACACCGGACCGGATAGTTTTAGAATAATTAATATTATAATTTAGTTTTTTTGATAGCTGCAGTTCATGGTTCGAGCTGTTTGACTGACTTCTCCAGACACGACGTCATGAATAGCTCGGCGAGTATCCACTACACTGCCCTGACGTCGAACTATTCGTTCACGTTGTTCAAGGTAATGATATTATAATATTATGTTACCCGACTGTTGGAAACGCGACCGATGAAAGCGACATTTCCAACTGTCTACTCTGCTAATAAAAAATAGATTTTGAAAACAAACTGGACTTGTAATCAGTTCGATACGATTCTAGTAACGACTTCATTGGATTAAATTTTCTTTCCAGGAACTCGGCAGTTCAGTCGAAGGAAACGTTTTCGCTTCCACGTACAGCATACAGTTCCTGTTGCTGCTCCTGGCCTTTGGATCCAAGTCTAAGACCAACGACCAACTCAAAAAGGTCTTACACCTATCCAAAGACAAATCACCAAATTACGAAAACATCAAATCGGTCATTACAAGGCTCGAAGTATGTGAAAAAAATCTCCTCACTCTGAGTGTTTTTCAACATGGCAATAATTTTAATTTCAAAAATTCAAAAATGTAAACAAAAAATGGCAACTTATAATCACATAGTTTATTAAGTGGGAGAAACTAGGATGTATTTTTCAATCTAGAGTAATTGTATACCTATGAATTGTACTAATAATGATTTTCATCAGTTGATACACAATTAGATCGACTTGTAATTTCCGGTTTGAATTTTTACTTTTTAAAATAACGGTTTTTATAATTAATAATTCAAACAAAATTATTGAAATAAGCATAATACATTTTTCTGGTATTATATTTTTATAATAATCAAAAATATTTATATATTTTAGAATAATAATTATTAAAATATTGTATATAATAAAAAGTTGGGTATTAAATAGCATAAATGATTTAATCTAACCATAAAACCTGACTATAAGTATAATTAAATGATTTATGACATTATGATTACATACAAATAATAGTAATAATTATTTTATTCTATTGAATGTCGGTTAAAATATCAATATGATTTATTAATAAATTATTTAATGATTAGTTAAATTAAGAATTATAGTATACTTGTGTTCAAGAAATTAAATTAATACATTTTGAAAACAAATTATATAACAATAATTAGCAATTTTATGAGTCATTCGTTTTTAATGAACAGCACGTATCATAAAAGATATAAGTATTTATCAGTAGATAATGTAGTTATAAATAGTCAATTTAAGTTATTGACTTCATGATAATAATTCGAAATAATTAAATAATGGTGTTCAATATTCAAACAAAAAATTTAAATCCTCATACCTAATATTTATAAAAAAGGGTTTATAGTTTTAAAACAAAAAAAAATTGATTCAGAAAAATGTCTGTTAGTTTAAACAATACTTTGCAAAAATGTATTGTGCATTGAAGCATGAACGATTTTATTTATATAATTTTATTTTTTTTTTTTAACTGTGTACAGCAGTTTTATATTTTGTAATCAAGTGTATGTCAGTTATTGATTTTTTTTTATGCAGTTCTTTTTTTCAGCTTTTTTTTTGTTGTTCATAGTTTCAGGCAATTAATTCTTAATACTTGTGCTTTACCAGACTAATTATTATTAATGACTAGAAAAGTTTATAGTTGAATTTATTATTCTTAGGTCCCGGGGCATTTGACCGTCGCCAATGGAATTTTCTCGGACAAAGCATTCAGTTTAAATCCAGAGTACACTAAAAATAATCAAAAGTACTTGAACTCTGAAGTGAAGAGTGTCGATTTCTCCGGAAATCCTGCATCCGGGGTGTCGGAAGTTAACAAATGGGTTAATAGCAAAACCAATGGGAAAATTTCGGAAATTTTCAAACCAGGTAAAAATTTTAAGATAATAGCAACAGCTGTATCATAGCAGTGTGACGTACTGTTTTGTCGTCGGTGTCATCCGAAAAACAAACGATCGTACGGCGTACCTCAGTTACTTACAGTAGCGATATCATTATTTGCCTTCAGGTGACATTAACAAGGACACGGTGTTGGCTTTAGTGTCGGCCGTACACTTTCAAAACTCGTGGAAATCACCATTCACGGCGACGAAGAACTCGAGCTTCTGCCTCACGCCTACGAAACACATCGATATCAAAATGTTGCACCAAACCGGTCACTTTAAATACTATAAGGATGAACACTATAAGTTCTCGGCCGTCGAAATACCGTACAAAGTACGAGTCTTGTAATGCCCTCCCTCATATTATTGAAAACGTTGGAGCCCCCATCACCACTATTTGGCTTTTTTTTTTCCACCAGTGATCAAGAAAACAGGGGAGAGGATTTAAGATCTTTTGAAATTTCCTAGTTATTCTCTCAAATTATTATAAAAGAACAACCTATTTTAATATAACACTATTTGGTTCTCTGAGGACGAAATCGTCGTCGAATTGTTCCGGTCGGATCCGAAAAAAATTTAAATTTGTATTTTAATACTTAAGTTTTACTCAGTCATCATTTCCCAGAAATATTTTACTACCCCGAGTTTGGGCACGTGTCCTTCCACCCTTAGACCCTTAGACATTCTTCACCCCGAGCTTGAGAAAAAATCATTGTCCTGTGGCGATACACAATTAAACATTACATATTATTATACTGATCGATTGCGCTCTGTCATACGTAGGTGGGCGGTTACGAGATGCTCATCATATTGCCAGACAAGATGGACGGAGTAAAGGACTTGGAAAACGTGTTCCTTAAGAAATCCAAAAACTACGCTTACTTGCTGGGCAACATGACCGTCTACAATGTCGAGTTGGACGTACCGAAGTTTAGGTTCAAATCCGATTTGAATCTCGAAAAAACCATGCAAAACGTGAGTGCACAGAACATAGTTATATGCATACGTTTATTTTACAGCTGACGATTTGGTTGGTAAATATAAATATTTCGTCCGTACGTGCAGAGCCACCTTGACGGAGTTTGTCGGCGGCCGTCGGGTTTTACGGGTTTTTTTTTTTTTTTTTACCATTTGATGCACACGCTCGAGACAATGTTTTTTCATCTTCAGTGTTGACAAACAGGAAAATCAAATCATTTTATAAGTGTTGTTTATTTCGATAAAATCAAATCGGAAGGTCATGTTGTTTTTTTTCTATTCATATCTACAACAGCGCTCTATCTTGGTAGCCGTACAAATATCTGTCAAATACACCATTAACGTTTTAATTTGTTTTTAAATTAAAAAATCAAATTGAAAAAAAAACACTCCTGCAATATATAATATTATAGTATAATATCTAGGTGCCTTTCGACTTATATTTTCCTTTGATTCCGTTAATTGCAATAAAGAGTTTCAATCAATTCACATTATAATAAATTATATACATTCTTAATAAAATATAATAATGATAATAATAATATGTGATTGACTGAATTCGTTTAAATGTATTTTATTGTTCGCTATGTGAATGTAATGTTACGATATCAGAAAACATAATTTTTAAAGCTCTAATTGTTTGTATAACCATGTTATCACATTATTGTCAATGATGTCGTGGATAAGTAAAAAATTTAAATTATTATATAACTTATTCTAAATCGAATTAAATATTTACTTTAAACTGATATACGTCATCTACAAACGGGTTATTCGATAAACAAGATAATATTATAATTTACAATACATAGGACATACTATTATTTTGAACATTTGTGTGCCCGCATATATTCTTCGCAGTTTTAAATGATTTAATATTTGACGAACAATAATATTATTTTAACGTACCTATAATATTAGATAGATACCGAACTAACAGTTTCTATTAAATACTTTTAGCTAAAATCATATCGATTTCCGCTTCATAGGTAGCTATAATTGTTGATTTGATTTTCCCGTCTACATAATATATTACCTAATCTATCGTTACTGAAAACGTTTTAAGCATAACACTGCTTGTCTGTATGTGAACTTGGTTGTATTCGAGTAGGCAGTCCAAATTATTATATAATGCTATAATCGTGTAGTAAATTAAAACTTAGACATTGGTCGAAGACAACGGAAAAGATATAAAAGGTTAGATCGGGAAGGTCGGTACATTGAGATTGTGTCCAATGAGAGTTACTAATAATGAATTCGTAACAATTTACACTTTAAACAGTATATTTAAAATGCCTACTATTGTCGACGGAATATATAATTCCAAATATTTTAGAGTACAATATTATTTTCAATTTTATCGAATAACTGGAACTTTTTCATTTTATAAAATACTATTTGATTTAACCGTTTATTTCTGTTCCACTGAAATTCATAAAACATATATTATAGTCAAAATATCTCTAATCTATGTGTATTCATTTATGTTAATTCGGTTGAAATAAAATATAATGTGTTCGTGTTGGTTGTATCTTCGAGTACCTACGTTGTTATAACACAATATGTTTATTTATTTTTATAGTTTTAACATTATCCAGTCAGCTTTTTAGTAAGGACTTACAGGGACAGTAATTTTTTGAAAATTATGCTGGGTTTTCGTTTTCATATTTTCAACCCATATTGATCACATGATGTTTATGTTATATATCTACGAATTAAAAATTAGCGCGACATTTCTATTTTTACTTTTACTTTTTATTATTTTGTACTGTTATTACTTTTTGCTAATAGGTAACTACTACATGCATATACATACCTACAATTCTTGAAATGTTTTGAGCACTACAAGTATATAGTTTCAAAGTTTAATATTTTCAACGAAAACAATGGATTAATCAAGGTCTCAAATTTTCGCAATCTGATAAAACAACTAACTATTGTAACTTTTGATTCTTAATGAACCCTTGTTTCTTGATTTCTTTAAAAATGATTTTAATGTAGTCGATAAATGAAAACGCATATATTATTATCTTGAGTTAATTTTAGTAATTTGATTTGAATATAAGATTAAGTTGTCCGTTTTCTTTTATCAAAAAATTTAAACATTTGGTTTATTTCCAGAGGGGATTAATATTTATCTTTATTTTAAACTTTTTAATATATAAAAAAGAACGTCTTCATTGTAATGTAATAAAATATAGTATGTAGCTAGTTTATTACAAAAAATATATTTTCGTTGACTTTAAATTTGATGTTATCGTAAAAAATTGTTGATTTAATATTAAAGTGTCTCACAACACGTTGTCTATAAGTTATAACTTATAACTAAAAGAAATGACGCGTATGAAGCGAATATCTGACAAATAAAATATTTTTTTCGCGATACCTAAAAATATTATTATCATGTGTAGGTGGCACAAGATAATTAGTTTGCGACCTACACGTTGAGAATTACTAGAAGTGTACCAGGTACCTATTTAATATTATTTGTATGATTCATCTGAATAATAATTTTACCCCGGATTTTAGGTTATGTCGTAGTGTATACCAATGATGTTTATTTTTCCATTGGCGACAAAACTATTTTTGGTAACACATATATTATTATTTTGTACTATTCGATGTACAGCACATATTTTGTTATTAATTATTAATTATTTATATCGTGTGAATGGTCGGTTCAGTGTAATTTCGGTGTAATGACTACGAAAGTGACGTGCGCGGGAACAATATCACATAATAAATTTGGCATTTACAGTGTTCACCAAGTCAATACAATAATATTATATCATGATATTAGAGATGAGATACGTATTTTATACTCTGAATAACTTCCAAGAGCAATCCGTTTCCAAAACCAAACGAAATATTCTAACCGTATACCACTATTTATATACCTGCGCTCTACCTGTAATATCCAACCGTTTTATAAACTGTCGGCCAACTAAACTGTCTCAGTAATTATCTACCCGCCCCCTCCACGATAACGTCCCATCAATCTATAACATTTCAATTTTGTTGTCGACAGTTGGGTTGCACCGAAATGTTCACGCCCAGCGCCGATTTCTCCGAGCTCAGCTCGTCCGCCGCTGGAAAGCTGAGGGTCAGCAGCATGAAACACAAGACTTACGTGGACGTCAACGAAGACGGAACGGAAGCCGCGGCCGTCACCGGTAAGTCGCAGTCCTTCCATCGGACTTTTGTTCGAAGTCTTCCGATTTTTCGGATTTTCAAGCGAATATTAAAACGCAAACGAGATTACCTAACTCGCAACGGTCTTACACTGCAGGTGCCAGCATAGCCAACTACAATCTGGAATACGTTCCGGCCAACATCAAGAAGGTCAAGTTCCACGCTTGTCATCCGTTCTTGTTCATCATCAAGAAAGACAGAGACATCATTTTCATGGGCAGACTGTCCGACCCGACAGCGTAAAGAGCCACACTTATGTTATCACGACGCTGCAGTGATGCACGTATATTATAGCACTGTGTAATAACGAGATACTTGTATAATACGATAATATATGATAAGGTTTCTGCCATTTTTTTTACGTCGATAATGATGATCGTAATTTTTATAATATATATATAGGTTTTTTAAAGAGTCATAATATTATACAGAACGAAAATCAAAGGAAAGCATATTACTATTTTGTGTGCCAAAAATCTTACGGTATAATAATATAATATACGGGTGATTTTGTAATCATGCGAACAATATATTTTTATGCCTACATTATGCATACGTACAAATTATGATTTTTGGAATTTTTAAATGCCTCATATTTTTGTGTAGGTACTTTAGATTTTGTGTACCACTTAAGCATCACCCTATTATAACACAAACTTATCTTTTTAAAATTACACCCCTCCAACTCCTTTCACTTTTGATTATTCAGCAGATAATTTCTTTGAGAATTTTGATGAATGTAAATGAAAATTCGAACGAGTAGTTTTTGAGTTAAGAAATTGTATGTATTATGGATAGTAATATGTGTGCGATAATTATTATTATTTAAGTAGACATAGGGGCTTAGGTAATTTGAAATCGTTAGTAATTACTATTGATCTATCAAAATAAAAAATCTAATATAACATATAGTTTATATATTTTTTTTAAAACTATTTTTAAGGATAATCATCTAAAGTATAAACATTCTAATAACTCAAAAACTACTCATTAGAATTTTCAAGAAATGACCAAGAAAATTATCCGCTAATTAAGCTGTAAACAAAAGGGAGGTTGTCATTTGAAAAACAGAAATTTGTATTGTCACAGAGCACTTTTGAGTAGTACAAAAAATATCAGCAATTTGAAAATATGGTATTTAACTATAGTTAAAATTTTAAAAATCAAAATTTAAATAATATTATACTATTGAAGGGAATATGGGGTGGAGCGTACTTAAAATATATCGTCCAGTATATACATGATTATAATCTCGGAAAAGCATCGCTGTCAAATAATTTTACTGCGGTTTATATTTTTGTTAGTATTTTTCGGTAATATTATTGAAATATTGTATTATATTTATGGTTACACAATATATGCAGACAGATATTGTTGTCACCAAATGCTTCAAAGAGGCCGTCCTGTAGGTGGACGTGAAGACGATGTGTGTTATGCTATTTTTAATGATTTGAATGAGTACGCACTGTATCACTGTTAAACGAAAACAAGTCAAATCACATTTAAAAATTATTTCTTGAGAAGCAAAAAAAAAAACCTTGAAAATATTATCTGATGGATTTTACGGTGCTTAGAAAGTTATGGAATAAAAATTTTCAATACATTACAAAGGGAAGCAATAAATATTTATAGACTTTTAAAATCAGCCGTTTTTAGTCTAGTGGTTTTAATGGAAATATTATCATATCGAAAAATCCAATGCGAACAAATAATCAGGTCGTATAAGCGCTGCGCGATACGCTGTTTGAAGTATTATTGTATTGACTGCGCGCAAAAGACTAACGCGAACAGACCAGAGTATGGTAGCATTCTTAGTTAATCTTTAAAAACAAAAAACCAAACGAAAAAAAAACGGAATCGTAAAACTTATAGCTCCAGTGCAGCGCAGCTTAGAATACTAAAGTCACGACATCGTGTTCAGTGAATTATATTATATGGAAGCAATTTTAGACTTCATAACAAAACGTTTTATTACCGTCTCTCGTTGATCGATTTTTTTTTTTTCATAAAAACAAATTATCATCGATGCGCGTATAAATTATCTCCGTGGACGCATAAAAATCTCGAAATTTTCGGAGATAAAACGTTTTGCTCGCCCGTCGAAGTGAGCGTTCGTTTAGGTGTTATATTATTATTGTGTACATTTTTACCTACACAACTCGCGCACAAAATACACTTCGAATGATCGCGATGTCGCGTACTTGAGAGCAAGATTTTCAGTATTTTTAGCAATTACAATTATTAATGTCTTAGTCTTATCGTCCCCGCCGATGGCGCATGAATATTATATTTTAACTCTGAAAAACTCGACGAGTTTCCGAAAACGATAACGTCGTCCCGAGTGTCTCGATAAGCGATCGACGCTCAGCGTACACATCGTACCAATTCAAAAGAAAGTATACAATTTTCAAGGGCGTCGGGGACGTGAATGATTTTTAACACGCACTGTTTGATCTTAAAAAAATTGTAGTATTTATGGTTAAAATATCATGAAATAAAAGTCACGGAAATATCTGTCTCTCACGTCCCTCGCCCACCCGTCTGACCGCAACTGTACCTTATTCTATATAATATATTTTAATGCATCTGAACCGGATGCACATCATTCCGCGGATCGTCAGACCAAATATCGGTAAATCAAAAAAAAAAAAACGTAATAAATGCAATATTTTAACACTAGGTCACCCATCTACAGAGGCATATACTATGTGTGAAGTGCCAAAATAATTTATGCCACGACCCCTCGGGAGTTATCGTCATCCACACGTTATTCTGATTTAAAACTTTTTCATAAACACATTATTGAATCAATACTACAACAGATGGTTGATATTATGCTATAATATGTGTATAGTATATAGATAAACGAAAACAAGCAATGACTGCGGTTGTTATGAAAACGATCCATCAAAGGTCTAGTTTTCGATATTCCTAAAACAACATTTTGTTGATTAAATAATTATTTTTTTAAGCGAATAAATTTAAAAAATAAAAATCTCAACCACGGTTCATTTATTATATTGGTGATATTTTGTGAAATAAATTGCTCCGAAAAATTGGAAATGCTAATTGGAAATATAATTTACACGATACGTGGGTGCGGCATAGCATCATCGAGACTGTCCCCCTCCCTCCATTCACTATATCACCAGGTGGGTAAATTATTATGATATAATTATAATGGCCACGGAGAGAACACCAGCAACTGACCTTTTCGTACTGAACGCTTACCTACTGTAACCGGCTGGAAGTGACCGATATAATACTATTATCGTCAACCGTTTGTGAATCATAATATTATTATTTTCCCTAGGGATTTTATTGTCGGATGCACTAACGGGGTCGTCGCGGTTTCCATCAATTTAATTTGACATTATTATTATTGTTGTGCGTGGTACAAATCAAAAAGTATCATAGGCGAACTCGTCGTGGGTGGTCCTGCGATTGATTTTCTAATCTGGAGGCGGTTCGTCATGATTTCGTTCGAAAATACCTATTATGCGCGTGACGACGACCGACAATATTGTTTTCGCGTACCATAATTTATTTCCAGCAGGTGGTTGTAAGACATTCACGCACTCGACTTATGCTAATCGAAAGACGGCCGGTAACTGCAATAATAATAATAATAATAATATTATGTGATCACCCGAAAACCAGTGGCCAGTCCGCTGTCTTGTATCGTTACGATTCAATGATGCATAATTTATTATGGTATATCAATATCTAACACCTAAATATTACGAAAAATAATTATTATTCGAGAGGATCCATTCTGATAATGCAATACGATTTTTTTTTACATAAAATCGACTAAATTATGTTTTTAACAACCGAGAAAAAAAATTCTATATTCATTTTCTCCTGAATAATAATATCGACATCGAATCAGAAAAACCCGTTGAATATATTCCAATACATTTTACGGAAAGCGTCAACTGTTGTTTTTACCATTTAAGTTGTCTGCTGTCGATATTATAAAATTGTACCTACTGATGTCCATTTGATCGCAAAGTATTTCAACATTTTTTCTCTATAAATATTTTTTGTTGGACAATACATCTCATTGAAAATGTATGTTATGTACCGTACTACTGCAGTGATTGTTTGTTTTGCAACAAATAATTCAAATTAAAATATTATCACTCGACAATAAATAAATATGAAAACATCGTAAGTACACAGACTTACAAATCGCATTATCATGCCTTGTTATTTTTGTGACAGATGTAAGTTCCCACCTAGAAATAAAAATACACCCCCCATGTAAGTTCTTATGCTAGAAACAAAGTACGCACACGTACAGAGTTATTCACACAGCATGCTCGCCCTTTTATGAACATGTTGAAAACGAAATATTCTTGATGTTTTTTTTTTATAGCTGAATGCTCAATAACATAATATGTGCAATTTTGTATTCGATTTTCTAGTCGTTATGAGTTTTAACTCTGTGTAAAAATATTCAATCAAATAAATCAAAAATGTATTTGATAATATATTTTTATGTACCTGCAGCTTATACGATATAAGTCAGCCATTATTGAAATCACAAAACATGCAGTCAAGGCTATATTTTAATCTCAAATGTCGTTTTCTTAGTGAAAATTAATTACATTTACAATCTGTATTTTGTATATCAATAGTTTATTTGAATAGAGAAAGTAATATTTTTTTTAAATGCACATAGTAGACATGGAATACACACAACGAGTAAAAAACTATGACGATGGGGAGGTACATGATTGATAACTTCGATTTTCCGGTTATTTTTAGTAGAATTAAACTCATGCACTGTTCAAAAATAATGACACGTTCAAAATGTCCTCCGCGTATAAATATAGTGTGGCAAAACATTGATTACTCCAGACGGAGTGGTGCCTTTGGAATGGCGGTCGAAAGAGATTAAATTTGAGGTCAGTGCCAATAATAATATTATCGTTTACCTACCCTTGGGAGTGCCTTTAGTTGGAGGTACTGATTTTCTACCATAACGTCTACCGGAAAATTGGGCCACGGCAATGGTGTAGTGACATGGCCTATATGTTGCGCCGTGTGGCAAGGCGCCACGATTTCATTCCGAGGCGATGCGTAAAATAGATTAACACATCTTGTACGACTTTTAATTGTGACACTATCTTAATGGAGTTGTATATTAATTATTTATCACGAAAATTCGAATGATGCGATATGGAATCTAATAATCCATCCACCTTTCAGACGCAGCAGAGCACAGTGTTGGAGTTCTGCGGATCGCGTGTCGGTCGCTCTTTTCCTTTTCACACTTTCGTTCCGTTATGACCTACCGTGCTTGCTGTCTCAAGTCTGTGTCCGACATCGACCAAGCTTATGTATTGAACCGTTTGGCACGCTTTTGATTGTACTCGGTATTATACGACGTGTGTATCACAAAATTTTTCCTGAAAATAATTCCTTCGTCAGAGTTGACCGCCAACGGTGCAGTAGATCGTGGTAAAACATCTACAGGATTTCGCAATTTTCCGCTCAAGTCGACTAAGGCCTATAGCATCGTTCAACATTTTGAAAGG